GAGGCGGAAGTCTTGTTTTTTTTTCAATAAAAAATTATATTTAAAAAAAAATAATAATTGGCTGGGTGTGGTAGCTCACATATTGAGTCTCAGCACCTGGGATCAGAGGCAAACTGTTCTTTCTATGAATTCAACATTAACCTGGTCTATACAGCAAGCTCTAGGCCAGCCAGGAGTGAGACCCTATGATACATTTATCTAATTATTTATGAATAAAAACTCAGGAGTCTGATACTGGGCTAAGAACCTGAGCGGTCAGAGAATTGGCAGAGAACCAACCAGTGACCTATTTCTTCTATTCACCCATCCAGAAAAACTGAGAGCCTCTCTTAGCTCTGCCTTACTACTTTCTGTCTCTGTCTTCAGTCCTCCAAAACCTCTATGGTTAATTTGGTCAGCTAGTGGCTAGCTCTGCCCTCTTCTTCAAAGCAAACTTTATTGTCAGAACATGATCAAAATATCACACAACGATCCTATCTCAGTTAAGTAAATAAATTTTAAGAAAGAAAATAAGAGAAAAGGCATAGAGGGCAGGGTGTATAGTCCGGATTTCAACATCTGTATATAATCTCACCCTTATCTTCCATGTCCTGGTCAGGTGTCCTGTTTGCCGATACTGTCAAACACCAGAGCCAGTGGAAGAAAACAAGTGTTTTGAGTGTGGTGTCCAGGAGGTAAGTATTGCTGGTGAGGAGTGATAATGAGCAGCTTTATTGGTTTGGGGTTTTCTTCTGCCCAATGCAGCTTAAATTCTTGAGAGTAATTCCTTTTTGTCTATAGTCAAATGTGTGAACACATAGATTCTTTTTTTAAAATAATTTACTCATTTTTATTTTATGTGCATTGCTATTTTGCCTGTATGTTGTATGAGGGTGTTGTAGCCCCTGGAACTGGAGTTGCAGACAGTTGTGAGCTGCCTTATGGGTGCTGGGAATTGAAGCCAGGTCCTCTAGAAGAACAGCCAGTGCTGATCCATCTCTCTAGTCCAGTACACAAATTCTTCATGCTTTGATTTGCTATTATTCTTTAAAATAAAATAAAATAAAGATTTACTTGCTTACTATGTGTACAGTGTCCTTCACACCAGAAGAGGGCACAAGATCTCATTGTAGATGGTTGTGAGCCACCACATGGTTGCTAGGGAATTGAACTCAGGATGTCTAGAAGAGCAACCAGTGCTCTTAACCTCTAAACCATCTCTCCAGCCCTGCTATTATTCTTTTAAAAGACTGAGATACCCATCAATCACTTGTGAATCTGTACTTAGGATTCTGCAGGTGCTAAAGAGGGGAAGTAGTAGACCAATAAGGACCCCGGAAGGTTGGGTTTATTCAGAAGTCTGTGGAAACAGTTCACAAGTCATCTTCTTTCCAAGCCATGTGAGCCAGGTCACATGCCTCTGCTTCCCATCATTAATTCAGATCTCCTCTCTTGGCAGAACCTCTGGATTTGCTTAATATGTGGCCACATAGGATGTGGACGGTATGTAAGTCGGCATGCTTACAAGCACTTTGAGGAAACTCAGCACACGTACGCCATGCAGCTTACCAACCATCGGGTCTGGGATTATGCTGGAGGTAAGGGAATCTGATTCGGATTCTTTGCTGTGGGAACTCCCTCAGTGTGTCATCTTCCTGGCAGCTAGACAAACAGATTGCACGGTCACCTTTGAGGGTGCCACGCTTAGGGATGGAGAGTTACAGAGAGTTTAAATGTCTATTCTCACCCTCTCTCACTCTCTAAAGTTGAACTAATTTGACCGATTTTTTTTAAATAAAAATCACACATCATTTGNTTTTTTTTTTTGGTTTTTCGAGACAGGGTTTCTCTATGGTTTTGGAGCCTGTCCTGGAAGTAACTCTTGTAGACCAGGCTGGTCTCGAACTCACAGAGAGAACTCACAGAGATCCGCCTGCCTCTGCCTCCCAAGTGCTGGGATTAAAGGCGTGCGCCACCACCGCCCAGCTTAGTTTATATTTCTAAAAACAAAAATGTTTCAGAGTTAAGAGGAGAGAACTTTTCATTCCTAAGAAGCTACTTCTGGCCAACTCTCTTTCCTTAGATAATTATGTCCATCGACTGGTTGCAAGCAAGACAGATGGAAAGATCGTTCAGTACGAGTGTGAGGGTGACACCTGCCAGGAAGAGAAGATAGATGCCTTACAGTTAGAGGTGAGATACTGTGAGCTGTTGCTTAGCAACTGCTATTGCTGCCTTTTCCCATTCTCCAGAGAAAGGTGCTTTGACCTTTTAATGTAGTCATCTTCCCTGTGTGGAAACTTTTCTTTAAGTTCTGTCACTGCTGTGAAGAATTTC